TGACGTTTCGGCAGTGTCCTCATTCTGCCAGAACGCCAGGGCAAAGGGCCTGCAGGAGCAACGGACGGATCCACGGGGAGACTATTCCTCAGGTACACATGCCTGTTTCGCAACAAAAAACCCTGGCACCTTCGCAAACCGAGGGAGCCGCGAGACAGAGACTCAAATCCACTCACACCAGCCACCTGGACCTGCCCCCGAGATCCCTGCGCCTACTTTACACCGCTGTAACTGCAAAGCCCCTGTAAACAGGGAAGGAAGAATTCTTCTCTTGGTCTCACTTAGAAGGTATCATGCTTCCCAATGAGTCTGGGACCACCTACAGTAACGCCTCTTATCATCTCCTGTTCAAGTGAAGTGATCGATAACCAATTTTACAAATGATAGACCGGCCTGGGAGGCAGCAGGGACTGTGGAATCCACATAAGTGCACAAGTGTCATAAAACAGGCGTATGGGAGAGCTAAAAATGCTCAGGCAAAGCCTTCTGTTAATAAAGCATTCCGTGACATTTAATTTGTATCCTTCCTTAAGTTTCTGCTTCTATTGAGCCCGCCTCTGAGCATTCAATTCCCGCTGTAGGCTGAACCTGGGCGAAGCTGATGCACAGTAATTGTGAGCTGAGCTTCAGCTTGGAGACTGAGTCAGCACCGAGTCAAAGAGGAACTCGATGAAAGGAAACGCACGCGGCCAGGATCGGACTGCAAGGCTCTGGGCTGTCTAAGCGATATCGCAGCAGTTGGGAATTTCAGGATTTCAATTCGCCGTGCGCAAAGGGCTCCACACAGAGAGTGATGTTCCAGGAGCTATTTGTGTTTCGTAAACTAGATTTTGTGGTATTTCACTGAAATTTAAAGTACGTCTCTTCTGCTTGGCTGTCAGTTCTAAAACCCACTTTTCAAAGCAACGTAAATATGCGAGCGCCAGCGACGGGACACAGTCAGTCCCCGTCCAACTTGGTCTCACCTACACCTAAATCCACAGGAAATATCATTCCAAAATTCATGCTGTCACTTCAAAACTAATTTTCCTAAGTAAGTCGGCCTTTTGAACTGTTTTCTACTTGTTTGATGCAGCGTCAGAATTTTTATTTCTTAATATGCTGCCAATTTTTACGCGAGCAATTTATATATGCCACAAAGAGAAGATCGGGGGCTTCTGACAATGGTGTACGCTTCTAAATCTGTTTTAGAATATCAGCGTACCTCAAAATCCTAACACAAATTCAACGACAAAATACGCCAAAATTAAAACAAACAAAAAAAACTTCAACAAAATAAAAAAGAGAGGCATCCACATATGCGACAGCAGACGTTACCAAATACATCGTGGAAATACAGGGCAGGAATCAGCTTCAGGACACTTGCAGAACATTTGGTTTCTAACTTGACCACAACGGTGCTGTTTGCTAACAACTGCCGAGCTAGAGTTGTAGGAACGTTACTGAAGCCAAGGGGCTCTGTCTACAGCCCCGGTCCGAGTGAATACAGACTCACTGCAACAAAACCCCCTTTCCTAGGCAACGGGGTTAAAGCTAATAAAGGTATTTCGCAAACTTAGAAGGCAAGAAAAGAAGGGCCATGAAAGGAAAAGGAGCCTGAATTAAAATATCCAGCTGGCGTTAAAGCTTTCTAGACTAGAAGTACAAAATGGAAGAGAAAATAAAGCAGCAGCACTGCGAAGACACATTTAGAGCAAACGCGATTAAGAGAATAAATTAAATGCAGTCCTAGAGCTGAACAAATTTAAAGGGCTGCTGAAAAATGCTAAGGAGGAGGGATTCCCGTCCAAGCGAGCGGATGCCTGCTGCCGAGCAGGAGATGCCCCAGCAACAGGCGGCGCGAGGAGAGATTTTAAGGAGAGGAAAAAGCATACGGGGGAGAGGAACTTCTCTGGGTTAAGATCCACCAAGTATAGAACGGGAGCAAGTATTTCTAAGTGCAGCAAGCGTTGTTAAAAGTGGAATAACACCTTAGAAAGAGCAACTCAGACCTGCAATGCGTGTGGACGACCCAAGCAGTTACATCCTCCACCCAGTCCCAAATCTCAGGCAAACACTTCGGTGAACACACCACATTCCAGACCAAGCGATGCATCTGGCCACGCTGCTTCATTGCTGGGAATGACAAAGTACAGCTGGGCTGGGATTAAAGGAATGCCTCTAAAGTTTACTGTGGCAGCTACAAGAGCTACAAACAAATCATGTCGGGAATTAGAGCAGAATTATTTGACTTGTCGCTAAATTGCCACAGTTTAATTTTTAAACTGACATACAAGCCCTTGTAATCCGTGCAACACTCAGTTACAAGCGGTAAGGAGAAAGCAGGGTGGGAACCTCTTCTCCTGCCATTTTCACAACTAAATACTGAGGTCTCTGTCTCACACCCCCTGCCCCAAGTGAATCCACCCCTACTGACAACTAGAATTCATCTTTAGAGACCCACGACCCGGGGCTCATCTCAAAGGGCCCCACGCTAGCAGAGCTGTTACTCATCAAGGACAGCACGTTTCCAAGTGTGCCACAGCAAAGCCAGGTCAACACGTTTTTCAGCGCAGGGTCACGTCCCTGTTTTCCCAGCCTGCAGAGTGACGCTTCTTGATGGAAAGGATCTTTACGCACCGAGAAGTATCTTGCACAAACCAAACCGACGTGCTGCTGGAGCTTTCCAGTAATGACAGCAGGATAAAGGCAGCCTTTGAAGTTCAAGGAGGAGTAGGAAGAGGTGTTAATTTAAAAAGCTTGTCAGTAGACCCAAGAGCAGGAGGAGAGCAAAGTACCAATTAATAATTCACACGTCTATTCCACACGTTATCATAGGATCTCAAAGCAGTTTGCAAACATTAAGTCTCAACGACGTCCCTCTGAAGCAGAGGAGCGCAGATCAAGCTCTGCTCCTACCAGCCAGGACGTCACGCCGGAGCGTTTCAGTTAGCCCAGCCATGCCCCCTCTTCCCCATCTAGTAAATGGGGATAATGACACTATCACACAGTAGTCCAGAAGCTTAGCAATTTCCAAATGAACATGGGTTTAGACAAAAAAATAGCACACAAGGGCAATCTCCTATGTCAGACTACACTTGATTACACTGGACTAAACACAGCTACTGAGAAGAAAACCCTCTATCTGGATTTTACAGTGCCCCACAGGTTTGCTTTGCTCTGTCCACAAGTGTCCAGAGCAGTGGAGTCCCAGTTAATGACCAGGATTCTTGGCTACTGGGTTAAATGAGGAAACTCATTTTAATTAGAGTATTTAGATCTGCTGTAGAAAGAATTGTGACAAATGAAAGACTGTCCAGAGTAGCCTCCAATTCTCAATTAACATAAAGCAGTCGGTGTGTTTGGAAGCCAGGACAGACATACCCACAGCTGCAAACTCCACAGGGAATCGTCATTTACATTCAGATGGGAAGTTGAGCACATTAGCCCATTTAATCCTCTCTCTGAAAGGCAGGTACAGCAGCTTTGCCCACTCACAGACGGCAAAATGGCAATTCAGGGAGGCTCCGAGCTGCCAAAGCGCGAGGGCAATCACACACACTGCCCACAGCAGCATTTCGCTTTGGGAACTCCTCATTCCCAACCCTCTACCTGGACTCTGTCATTTTTTTTTTCTTTTTCATATATTAAAAAAAAAAAAGTCCACAAACCAATGCTGCTTTGGTATGAATGAGAGAGAGTTTCTTCTTCCTTGTTTGGGGCTCTTTCATGCATGGAACCAGACAGAATTACTTTACTTAACTCCCTTACCAATCTGACTTTTCCAGAAGGACCAAAGATAAAGACAAAAGTAACAGCTTCATGAAATACAGCTCTTTTCTTCTCCTGAGCCTGACAGTCACTTCCAAAAGCAGATTGTCATGACAACAAACAACCTGGAGGCAATCCAGCCAATTAATCTGCAGAGGAAGCAGCCTCCCAACCTTGGAAAAGAGTGCTGCTGCTTTAAGCTTCAGAAGCCAACAACAAAAAAATAAAAAGAAACCCAACAAGAAACCTTACCACCCACATTAATCTCATTAGGCCTGTAGTGAAAAACAACTCAGCCCTGCAGCAGCAGCAGACACGCGCTGGCCCCGCACCAGCCCTGTCCTGAAGTCATTCTCCTTCGATTTCCCTAATTTCTTCCTTCATACCCTTCTTTCTCTCTGTTCAGGTGTCCTGCTTTCTGTAGGCCCAAGCATGTGACATCTGCCCTGCAAATATCCACCATCTCCCATTTTTTGCCTCCTCTGGTCTCTCAGCAGTAACTCGGACATTAAGACGTTTGGCAGCTGATGCCCAACGCACGTCATCTGTTCATCTCGCGTTCATCGCACCCACTTCACATTTTACAAAAATGCTACGGTATTAAGTTCCAGAAGACAAAACGGAGGAGCACTAGACGTAGACTTATGAAAACAGACTACAAATGGCAGAGATTGTGTTTTGAGATGCTCACAAGAATCAATCCACAACAATTTCCAAACAGTTTTCTCTCACCTGTCTTCATCCTCTTCTCTAAATCAGAAATAAGGAAGGGTAGGAATAAATTCTTTCACTGTCGACTTGCAGTGTAACACACCTTTCTGAAGGTAACGCAGCAATGAAGATCTAAAGCTTTAAACTTACATGGATTTACTCGTCTGGCAAATACCCAGACCCCTGAGCTACTTCAAACTTCAGTTGGATTATTGATCTCTCTGGGTCCAACCTGATTCTCAGAGAAGCCACTAAATGGATTCCTGGCAACCTCAGTGAGCTTCAGATCACTGAGGAGAAGCAATTCCTGCAAAAGCACATTTTGGCTAATCTGAAGACGACACCAGTTCTCCGAGAGCTGAGAAGGGAACGCACGCACGCACACGTGCACTCTCCCCATTTCACTCTCATTATCGGCAGAATTAGGAAACCCCAGCTCCCGTAAACATAGAGGGAGCCAACAGAATCGTATTTTCTCCTGAGCCTGTTAATTGGAGTTAGTATAATATTACAGAATAGAATAAAACCCCGGTGCCTACCTTGAGGACTTTCGCAGCTCTCTTCATCGCTGTTGTCCTGACAGTTATTCTGACTGTCGCACACGAAGCTTTTATCGATGCAAAGACCATTTTTGCAGTGGAATCGGGCAGTCGAGCAAAGCAAGGGGTTTGCTGCTGCGGAATGAGAAAGCGAGATCTTCCATGAGAAATTCTCTTACCCAGGCAGGGAAATAGCCGTTAAGCAATCGACGGCAACAGGTCACAGCTCAACAGTTGGTCAATTCGCTGAGTGCGTGGGAGTAACTTGGCAATCCAACCGAGCTCGTCCCTCTAAACAGAGAGGGATGAAATTTCTAATTCATGCAAGATTCATTATAATTAGCAGAGATTTAGTCCACCCACGGTTGTGATAAGCCTTCTGTTCACTTTCATGAGAGCTCCTACCGAAATCACCATTCAGTGCTCAGCATTTGCTCACGCTGAAGACATATGGAGGGCAGCCCTGCCTGCCATAAACACTGCCTGTTGCTTCCCCTTACAACAATCTAGCTCAAGTTTCATACTATAAACCAACAATCCTGGCTGAAAACTGGCAGGCAGTGTTTCATCTACCTCTGCTTCTCTCTTTTGCCACCTTCCCCATTCTCCTCACCGTTTCGAACTGACACAACGGCAACGCTGACCATTTCTCAACTTCTTAGTGTTTGAATTTCGACTCTTTTTACAGGCAATTACGGTAGCACCCACAAAATCCTTTCACATAAGGCACAGTGCTGGACAAAGAACAAATCAGAATAATATTTAAGCAGACTCGTCCAGAATGTCTCTTCACCTGTGCAAACCCAGCACCAAATAAGCTGTAAGACAGTTTAATTTAAAGCTTCAAGCAGTGCACTTTTCACCGCTTCTAATCGATTACATCACAGCTCCAATGCATCTCACCGTCAAGGAGGTTTCCTTGATGTTCACCCTCTTTTTTTTCTTTTCTAATTTCATCCCTCTACTCTTAGCTACAGCCCAGAATACATAACTACATAATTCCTCCTTGAACAGTGTTTGTACCCTTCATATACAGCATATATATAGCCTTATCTTCCAACGTAGCCATCACTTAGCTGAGACGTGCATAATTTAGCAGCTTTTAATATCTCCTCATAAATCAATCTCTCTGTCCCTTAATCATTTTTGGCACTCTTCTCTGAACTCCTGCCAGTTTTTGGTAATGAGGTGACTGAAACAAAATGCAACTTGCCAATTGAAAACCTTAAAAAAGCTGTTTAGACGGCTTGTCTGCTTCAAAGTGCTTCTCGTCCACAGTAACAAAGGGGATTACAGTTCCCAAATACTAACTGGCTTCCTATTTTTTATTCTTTAAAGTAATAACTGTCTTTAAAGAGCCTTTAAAAAAAATAAAACTTTAAAGTCTGCTATGTATGTAACCTGAAATATATATAACAAACACTCTCAATTCCTCCAGCTCCCCAAAAGCACATTTATCACGAAAATGCTAAAGCTCCTTTGGTCCGAAAGGAGCTGAAAGCTGCTTCCACACCACGTTGGTTTTGCAGGTCACTTTAGAGCCTACAGTGCTAAGCAAAACCATGACCAGACACTTGGATATGCTAGAAAATACTGACTGCGCTTAAATGACATAGAGAAACAAGGAGATGAGCAGCATGTTATGGTTGGACTCCACACCCCATCCTAAATGATTCCACATTATCAGCCGTAAAGCCACAAGCTTACGAGAAATTCTGTCATTCGTAACCAACACCAGGAGAATTTTCAGCTGAGACTCGTCACTTGTCAATGCAACACGTCAAGGATATGGAAAGCACTTCTGTCAGAACTTCTTCCTAGTCCACCTGTTTAAGCACAACCCAAAGTCATTTCCCAAGCCCTCAGTCTTCTTTCTCTACCTTTCCCAGCTCTGCAGAGGTGCCGTCTCCCTGCCACAGTCCTCCCAGGGCCTAATCCTGACTCTGTGCCAGCAGAAAACACCTTAAAGAGATGTTCACGCCGCGGGGGAAAGCACACAAGCAAGAAAGGCAAGCCCTCCAAGGAGGAGACAGGGATAGATTGTGGTAAAGATCATCCCTTTTGTTATCTTTGAACGCTGGTGTTTGCTGTCCTCCTCCCGACCTTTAAATGTCATTACAAGGAAAAACTCAGCGTGCTCCAACAAGAGAATGAGCAAGTATTTGCCGCAAGCTTCCACCTACAGCCCGACGCTCACCCTGGCTCCAGCAACAGAGCTGCTGGATCGAACATAACCTTTCCTCACTGCGGCGAGACACCCCTGCTGGGCTGACAGGTACTGCTGGGTCTGTGCAGCCCATGGGGTCAGCCCAGGGCAGGGAGCGCTTCAGCCGAGCCCTCTGCTGTGACTTCCCCGCAAGCTGCTCAGCAGCAGCTCAGCCTAGTACATGGGCAGGCACGTCTGACTTCAAGAACCTTCTCCTTCCAAGAACCTGTTTCACTAGATAACCCTTTATTAGCTTTTTTGTTGTTTGAGAACATGTGTAAGCAGAGAAACCTAACAGTGCTGATGAAAAAATTAGTCGCATTCTCCAGTGAAACAGGCAAATATAAATTAAACCATTTTAAGTCATATTTAATATTTGCCTAATTTGAGTTCCATTCGAGTACAGAGAACCTGTTCAAAGCAAACAGCATCACAGACTGGTTTGGGTTGGAAGAGACTTTAAAGACCATCTCGTTCCAGCCCCCCTGCCCTGGGCAGGGACACCGCCCACCATCCCAGGTTGCTCCAAGCCCCGTCCAACCTGGCCTTGGGCACTGCCAGGGAGGGGGAAGCTGCCACAGCTTCTCTGGGCAACCTGTGACAGGGTCTCACCACCTGCACAGAAAAGAATTTCTTCTTCATATCTCACCTAAATCTCCCCTCTTCCAGTTTCAAACCACTTCCCCGCACCCTACCACTACATTCCCTGATAAATAGCCCTTCCCCAGCTTTCCTGCAGCCCCCTTTAAGTACTGGAAGGCTTATAAAGTCTCCTTATAAGGTGTTAGAAGGCCCTTGGTTCTCAGGTCTCCCCAGAGCCCTCGCCAGCAGGCAGGCTCACACTTACTGCAGTTCTCCTCATCGCTGCCGTCGGGACAGTCCTCAAAGCCGTTGCAGCGGAAGCGCCCGATGATGCAGTGGATCCCGCTGGCGCAGGGGAAGAACGTGGCACCGCACTTGGACTTCGCTTTCGCTGGGAAAAGATTCAGACAGAAGAGGGCAAAAATGATGGCAATTATTTACAAAGGTTAGAGATATTTCTGCAGTCCTACAGACGAGGGTACTCTGGGCAGCGTGCTGCCACCTACACTAGGTGCCTTCCAAGCTCCTCATAGTCTGCTTCTGCCTTTTTTTTTTTCTTTTGTGCATGAGATTTCACTTGCTTGGACTGATTTGTACGATTTCCAGAATGATTGAAACATTCAAAATTGAAACAAGTTAAATGACCCCTCAAAACAAATCTAATCGGCTCAACACTCTGGAGTACAAATTTGCAAATTAGCCAAGCAGTGACTCCTAACTGTCCCTTAAAGATCTACATCAATTTGACTGATTTAGAAGCAGCGGAGGGTAAAAAAGTATTTAAAGAGGGTCGTACCTCATAAAAACCAAGAGCAACTATCTCCTCTTTGGATGGAAATGTCACTGTCCCATGCGTAACTCCAGGAGACGAACATCAAAGCAGGTCCTCAGGACTCAATAACCCCCCAAAGGTCTGGCTGGACTAGTCATACCCCCAACGAGTAAGGCTGAATCCACAAAGCAGCAAAAGTCTAGATTTTGTACACCACCAACTTCGCTTGCTTGCTCAGAGAAGCCAAACAGTGAAGAGCCCAAGGGAGACACAGATAACGAACACGATAGCAAGTTCTGAGAATTTGGTATCTGGAGGCAAACTTGGCCAAAGACAGGTGTACAAAGAGTAAGGAAACATCTGGAAAAGTAAAGGACATATCAAGCAAACTACTGCATTTGTGAGAATAAGAAATATATGCAACCTTCATTAAAGTATTTAGGAAAATCAGAAAATTCTGTAATTAACACTGCCTTTATTCTGCACAGTTTATCTAAAAACAGGTGCAAAAGGAACAGGAGTTATACAAATTGCCTCTCTTACTGTATGTCTCCCCACCATCCATCACGGAGTTCCTAGCACAGAAACTACATCCATTTCCTAGTACCAGCACAGCTATTCATATAACACTGAACACTAACAATAGCATCAAAATACGCTTAACAAATCATTACAGAATCTCATTATGATCTCAAGTACTTCACATTTTTTTTTACTTCACTGCACAGCAACTGTTCAGTGCCCTCAGCTAGAAGGATACAGATGCTTCCACCAGGATTCTCAAGGCAAACACCAGTTAAGTCCCGCAGTATCATCAGCATCCGAACAAAGCAACTCCCAAAGTAAAAGAGAAAAATTTAATGAGACATGAAGTTAAGATTTTTTTTCTTTTGCTTTTTCAAATTAGCACGCGATGGATCATATCACAGCACACTGAACTCCTCAGCAAGTCCACTCTGAAGCAAGGAAGGTGCGACGCGAACACAGGGGAACACAGACCACCGCTGGGAGAGCACCAGGAAAGAAGCCGGTGCTACAACTTGCAGGCCTTTCTGGGTATGTGTTTCTTACTCCTGCGCTCCCAGGTTTTGAGACGTGACAGCTCTAGAGATCACAGCGACAGGCTGGCTTTTTACGTGGCCATATGGCACATGGATGTGCCAACCTGCGCAGTTTTTACAAGGCCAGGATAAGGTCATGGACAACTGGACTACAGACCAAAAAAAAAAAAAGAAAGAAGAAAAAAAGTCTATCATCCATGTTGTGGGTTGAGACGTGACCTGCTCTGGGTGATCCTGCTCTGGCAGGGAGGTTGGACTGGATGATCTTTCAAGGTCCCTTCAAACCTCCAACACTCTGTGATTCTGTGAGAATCACGCAGTCGCTCGCTCATTCCTCGCCCCAACTCTGGTCCCCAGAAGATTCACAAGGGTCATCCTTCCCAGTCCTGCCCCTGCCACCGAAACCCCCACCAGCCCCAGCCCCACGACAATCCAATGGAGACAAAGGGCTTCAGCACAAATTTGGAAGGAACCTTCTCTTCCAGGGCAGCTGTAGCAAAGCCTCCTCCCATCACTCAGCAGAGTGCATACGAACTGTTGTAAACCACAGCTACAGCAATTCTCACGCGATTTATTGTCCCCCAGAAGCACATTTCTGCAGTTCCTCTCTTACATGTTTTTCTTTATTACACCAGTGGTTTTCAGTTAGAATTATGAAGTGTAAAACAGGACGTATCGCTGAATTTCACATACTCAGCTACCATTTTTTCTGAACATTATCCAAGGTCCACTATGGTGGGAAAAAAAAAATTTTAAAAAAAAATTAACCACTGCTTCATAGAAAAACAGGTGATAAATTACACTGAAGTAGCTGCTGTGCTTTACATCACCAGCTATGGAAAACTCTCAGCCAAGATATCTGAGCGCCCGCAATTCTTCACACGACTTCAAAGAGCAACTTCAGTGTAAGTCTTGAGGCAGACTGATCTTGGGTAAATAATTCAGTAACCACAAGGTCTGAGGCAGCGCCACAGCCCCAGCCTTTAAGCAAAGCAGCAAAACAAACACCTCAGCAGCAGGCTCCCAGGCTGAAGCGAGCAGTCCCTATTAGCATTTAACCCAAAGCAGCCCCCTAACCCAGCTGCTGGTATAACCCACACGTGTGAGGAGGTGTCTGATGCTTCATATGTTATGGTTTTGTTGTTGGTTTTCTTCTTCTAAAAGCTAGTATCTTTTCAAAACCATGCAGCGCATTTTACAGCCCCCAGACCAAATGATTGCCTCTGGATATCTTCCTTTTTTTTTTTTTTTTTCCCCAGAGATATATTTTTGAGCCAGAATAGTTCTGAGAAGAGAAGTGGGAGAAGCAGATTGTTTTTGAAGGGATTGGCAAGTCCTCCTGAGCCCAGGTCTCCAGAACTCAAGAAACTGAGAGACCACACGTTGGAGGAGAAGAGGTACAGGCTGACAGAAACACTTGGAATACAGCAAAAAATCACTTTAAAAACTACTCAAGAGCAGAGGCAATCCGGTTCCAATTGCAGAAATAGAGGAAGTACAAAACCCACCCCAAATAAACTGATATTCGACCAGGTTGTGACCCTATGGCAGAAAAAAAGTCTGATTCACTCCAGTTGCACTCTGCATTTGTCACCCAGTCATGGCAAAAGCAATCCAGAATGGAAACATTCACATTTGCCCTGCACTAAAGGGAACTGCTATGGAATTTGGAGAGGTGTAGGGGAACCACCACGCACCGGAAGAGCCTCCTCTGGCCCTACTAGCCCTGGGAAGACATTGCTCTTCACTGAAATATTCTTCTCATCTCTTCAAAATCAAACGTGAGGCAAGTGGTGAAGACGGCCACAGTGCAACTTGCCAAATGTTCCCGCCAGGTTGGTTTGCTTAATTTCAAGAAAACTATTCTGGCAGATGTACGTGCGAGTGCGTGAAGTCACTCCTTATGCTACGCAGAAACCAGTCCTCCCACTCTCTTCAGTTAAAGCTCTGAAAAATAGTAAACTCCCATCAGGACCAGTTGTATGTTCCACTGAGGATGTGACAGTTTGCAGGCACAGCTCTACAGCATTAGCAGAAACACATTTTGCTATCTTTAGGCTACCAAGTGTGAAACAGCGCTATTTTTCAAAAACTGTAATCCATTTTATTATTTCTCAACTGAGATGAACAACCCGGGGGGGCGGGAATCAGATTTGGCATACAGTGTGTAAAACCTTATACTATATATAGATAGCCTCTTGTATAAAATCAATTCTGACGCTCTTGACTTGGCTACAAGGACTTAAAATCTGCCTAGAAGGTTACAACAGATCTCTGTTATGCTTTTTCTTTCCATAGATAGAGCAGTAAAGACATCAAATATCTTCTATAACTATCAGCAAGTGCAGTTGTAGGCTCTAGACCCGAGGAACACAGCCAAGACAAGATGGCACGACCCAACTTCTTGGGAAAAAAAATAAATTGACATATGTAAGCATAAGTAGATACTTACCTGCTGTTTAGATAGCACAGTAAAATTTTAGAGCTGTGCTCCAGTATAATTACACAGTGCTTCAAGAGAAGACATTTTACGCTTCTAACAGGCTGAGTTTCTCTTACAGAAGCCAGCACACAGTCTTGCTAATAAAACTGTCACGAAGAAACTTTCTGCTTG